CACTCTGTCACTAGAGTGAGGGGGTGACTAGTGACAGAGTGAGGGGGTGACTAGTGACACAGTGAGGGAGGGGGTGACTAGTGACAGAAGGAGGGAGGGAGTAGTGACAGAGGGAGGTGGTGACTAGTGACAGAGTGAGGGAGGTGGTGACTAGTGACAGTCACCACCACCCTCACTTTGTCACTAGTCACCCCTTCCTTCCCTCACTCTGCCACTAGTCACCCCTTCCCTCACTCTAGTGACAGAGTGAGGGAGTGACAGAGAGAGGGAAGGGGGTGACTAGTGACAGAGTGAGAGAGGGGGTGACTAGTGACAGAGTGAGGGAGGGGGTGACTGTCACTAGTCACCCCATCCCTCTCTCTGTCACCAGTCACTCCCTCCTAACTCTGTCACTAAACACCCCCTCTGTCCTTAGTGACAGAGTGAGGGAGTGACAGAGAGAGGGAAGGGGGTGACTAGTGACAGAGTGAGAGAGGGGGTGACTAGTGACAGAGTGAGGGATGGGGAAACTAGTGACAGTCACCCCCTCTTTCACTCTGTCACTAGTCACCCCCTCTCTCACTCTGTCACCAGTCATCCCTTCCTTCCCTCACTCTGCCACTAGTCATCCCTTCCCTCACTCTGTCACCAGTCACCCCTTCCTTCCTTCACAATGACAGAGTTAGGGAGGGAGTGACTAGTGACAGAGAGAAGGATGGGGTGACTAGTGACAGAGTGAGGAAGGGGGTGACTAGGGAGAGAGGGGGTGATTAGTGACAGAGTTAGGGAGGGAGTAACTAGTGACAGAGAGAGGGATGGGGTGACTAGTGACAGTCACCCCCCCCCTCACTCTGTCACCAGTCATCCCCTCACTCTGTCACTAGTCACCCCTTCCCTCCCTCACTTTGCCACTAGTCATCTCTTCCCTCCCTCACTCTGCCACTAGTCACCCATTCCCTCACTCTGTCACTAGTCACCCCTATCTCCCTCCCTCTGTCACTAGTCACCCACTCCCTCACTCTGTCACCAGTCACACCCACTCACTGTCTCCCCCTCACTCTGCCACCACTCAACCCCTCCCACACTCTTCCACCTGTCACCTTCTCCCTCACACACTCTGTCACTTGTCATATGCATTCACACTGACCCTATATACAAAAAAGCACATTTAGTCATCCAGACATGCACAAGTGCATTCACACAGACTCAAATACAAACATGCATTGATACACAGGTCTTCACAATACACACATCCAAAGGAATGCCGTATTATGAATTATATTTAACATTTATTTAATGCACATATATTTGGCCTTCAGAGGGCCTGGGATCTAATTTTGCCTGGGGGCCCCAAAGGCTCTCAGTCCGCCCCTGGGCCTAGGGCAGCACAAAACCAGGATACACCACTGGTCAGCAGAGAGGTGACAGCGGACGGTTTGACTATTTATTTATAAATATAGATAGCAAGGGAACTCCTGGCACCATAAGCACTACAGCAAAATAGGGCATTGCATCAGAAGAAAGTAATATATGTGCTCTTTAAAAAACAAACAACAAACAATATGTACCCTTGCACTTAAAGAGAAAGCATTAAATTAAGGCGGAACACATAGCAAAGAGTCAAAAAATTGTGTAAATATTTTTTGTCAAAAAGCAGTCAAAATCTTTGGCCAAATAAGATACCAATTTCAGCCTTGTAATTTTAGGGAGGCGTGGTGCAGTTAAAGGGATTCTGTAGTGTTAGGAATACAAATTTGTATTCCTAATACTATAGTGTCCCATTATCGCTGGGTTGGCTCTCTACCTCCTTTAACATCATCCGACAGGAGGATATAATATGCATGCGCGACAAGTGCATTAGACCCATAGGAAATCATTGTTGTGATGGGATTCCAGCATAGTCAAAATTTAGTAGGCCAAAATCTCCACATGGCATATGCTAATTAGTATCTGATTACAAACAGTTGGGAGTTACATTGACTTACATTGTTTAAAATACTAATGACCGTTTACAACAGACAGAAGTAGGACTGCTTACCCTATTTTAATATTTCTTGTTATAAGGTTTTATTTTAGGTATAAATATATTAAAAGCTAAGTTTTATTATTAGACCTATAAAGACCGTAACTGTGATAGGAGCTACTGGGAGAAGCGCTGCTAGACCGATTCTCAGGAGTCGTACTTGCATTCTAGGAGGCCATTTTGTGAAGCACCAGTTCCTATACATGCCAGAGTGTCCAATCCAACTTCTAGGATGAGATTTATTATCAAAGCTTCAAGCTCAGATAACTTTTCTACCTAATGGATCAACATCCCTGCAGTTTAATAAATCACCTGGCATAATAGCGGTATTGGTGCCAAAAGAAGAAGAATGGTGCTTCTATTCTGTAATAACAAATGCAAACCCTAAGAGTTTATTTGACATTCCAGGAGTATGGGCAGAAAATAATCCTCCAGGACTTGTTTGTAACATCCGATCGATATATATTGAGTTAAAGTTTGGGGTGTATCCTGTTAGCCTTCGTATGTTGTTCTTTTATCTACCCCAACAGCTGTAAAGGTGGCGGAAGTGACTCCTTGGATTCATCACTCTAGGGTTAAACCATCGGCAGATTCCTGGGAAGCTACTCCAGATCCTGAGAATCCTTGCAAGATCCGGTTGAAGCGCATAACCCAGTTGGATTGAACGTGTCATGAGAAAAAGTACGAGGGAATATCGAGACATTCTAGTTAAAAGTCTACAAAGATCATCAAGTAGGTGTTTTGACGGCCATAATAAAGCCTGACCACCTGCCTACTTGTTATAGTCAGAGTATCTCAAAGGGACCTCTGTGAAGGTGAGGATCAGAAGTACAACATTCCTTGCAGCCTTCACAAGTGGGAAGCTGAGGTGCCGTCGCACGGTCGAAGAATAAGATGAGGACCACAAGAATGATGTGCTTAACTATGTGTTTTAGTATTTTTATAACTTTTCAGGAGGGTAAAGGTAAGGATATTCAAAGCTGTGTTAGTTGTATTAAGACAACAAAAACAGGTAACCAAATATCCCAAACTCTTATTTGGCACTCACAATATGAATGTAGAGGATCCGTGTCTAGGTGTAGGTACTTACATACTGATTATAGTGTGTGTCAATCGATATCAGGTAAGCTTAAGTGTTTCGATCCCCAATTCCAACCCGTACAATTTGGTTGGTAATTCGGAATAGTAACTCCCAGGGGACATTAATAAATAGGATTGTGATAAGCACCATACATTCCACGGGTATTCTATTATTTGATGCATGTAAGGCGATTTCGGGTAGCAGAAAACCTTGGAATGTATGTGGTAATCTTAAATGGGAACGAACTTATGGGTTTAATGATAAATATTTATGCCCTAGCAAAAGATCTACTGATCCTGACTGCCCAAATAGAGACTTTAACTTCTGCCCCTATTGGTCATGTGTAGGTTGGGCGACCTGGGTAAAGACAGTAGATCAAGATATGATTATCCAAAGGTTGCCCACTACACCGTATTATAAGACTACAGGCGGTGGTTGAAATTATCACCAATGAGACGGCGCAAGCACTCAACCTCTTAGCAAAGCAGAATACCCGTATGCGATCAGCCATCTATCAAAATAGATTAGCTCTGGACTACTTATTAGTAGTGATGTCGCGAACCCGAAATTTTCGGTTCGCGAACGGCGAACGCGAACTTCCGCAAATGTTCGCGAACCGGCGAACCGCCCGAAACGCCATTGACTTCAAAGGGGAGGCGAATTTTAAAAGACACAGGGACTCTTTCTGGCCACAATAGGGATGGAAAAGTTGTTTCAAGGGGACTAACACCTGGACTGTGGCATGCCGGAGGGGGATCCATGGCAAAACTCCCATGGAAAATTACACAGTTGATACAGAGTCTGGTTTTAATCCATAAAGGGGCAGAAATCACCTAACATTCCTAAATCACAATCAATATGGATTGACACCTGACATATGACATATTGACACCTTGACATATGGATTGACACCTGTCCTCAGAGCCCCTGATGCACACGGACACAGAGCAGAATAGAGACTAGTCCCCCTACATAGGGTCACTTGGCAGATATGGATTGACACCTGTCCTAAGGATCCCTGATACACACTGACACAGAGCAGAATAGGGACTGTTCCCCTACATCGGGTCACTTGGCAGATATGGATTGACACCTGTCCTAAGGTTCCCTGATACACACTGACACAGAGCAGAATAGGGACTGGTCCCCCTACATCGGGTCACTTGGCAGATATGGATTGACACCTTGTTACAAACTGCTATTTGTAGCGGGCCCTTTAAATGGCAAATTGCCCTGCTTCCCTGGGTTGTGGAGAAGCCTATTTGCCAGCCTCCTCCCGCATGACTATGGCCCCTGGGAGATTGTGAAAATGTATGCACTTTTATTTGGTGTGTATGGCCCTTTAAGACTGTCGGTGGGCATATTGGGGCTTATGGACTCTTTATGTGACTGGTGCTGGCCCTTTAAACACTTTTTTTGGGACATCAGGAAGATTGGGACACTGCCCCTTTAAGGCCGTGTCCCCAGACTTGTTGGGGACACGGCCCCTTTAAGGCGGTGTCCCCTGTGTCCCCAGACCTGGTGCAAACCCTTTGTGCCTGCCTTGCTATTTCCCACTTGGTTCAGTAAATGGGAAATTATTTCAGCTGCAGAGACTAAGTCCCATTCAGCGATGGGACTTAGTCTTTTTTTCAGCCGTTTTTTTCAGCCTTATTTCAGCTGCAGAGACTAAGTCCCATTCGTGATGGGACTTAGTCTTTTTTTCAGCCGTTTTTTTCAGCCTTATTTCAGCTGCAGAGACTAAGTCCCATTCGGCGATGGGACTTAGTCTTTTTTTCAGCCGTTTTTTTCAGCCTTATTTCAGCTACAGAGACTAAGTCCCATTCGCGATGGGACTTAGTCGTTTTTTCAGCCTGAAATAGACCGACCTCACAGCCCAAATCTATGGAACTGTTTTGGGCAGGAAAATGTGCTTGCGGTCGGTCATAAAGGGACCTCCAGCTAACTTTTTTAACCCCTGGATGGATTTGGCTGATTTTTGGTTATGTTTATGTTTTAAGTGTGCTGATTCCAAATATGTAATTATGAAGATGGGATGTGTAGTTTTAAAGTTACAGGGTATGGCTAAAACTGTATTTTTACTGCCTGTGTTTAATTATGTTAATCTCTTCCCAAACGTCATTTCGTTCAAAGTGGAGAGAATGTTAAAAAAATATATTTTTTGTTCTGAGTGTGAGAAATGCTTTTCAGCCGCTTCTAATCTTAAGCATCATTTGAGGAGCCATACAGGAGAGAAACCTTATTTGTGGTGTGTTTTAGTATTGTTCTGATCAGTTTAATACCTTCCGCGTCTCCTATCAGTGGACGTGTATATGGCAGCCATTTTAGGAACCGTACACCTGGGACCCGAGCAAGGTCACCTCGTTCAACAGGCTTGCAGCATATCCTCCAGGAAGAAGAGCCTGATCCCTTACCGGCTGCACGTGTCTTACCTGTACATGGAAAGCTGCTGTGGTTCCTTGATGAGCCAGCTGCCCATGAGTTAACATGTCCCGTGGAGAAGCACTCTGTCCTGTAAAGCCTCACCAAAAAAAAGGAGTGGTGTGTTTAGTATTGTTCTAATCAGTTTAATACCTTCCGTGTCTCCTATCAGTGGACGTGTA